GTTCATGTTAGGGTATACAATGAAAACTCGACTTTCAGTTTCTCAATACCATTTTAAATAAGATTCAGGTTCTAGTCAAGTGTATGTTTGCAATTTATTTATTATGCGAACATATTTTATTTATTCTATATTGCAGATAATATGGTTTGATGTGTCAAACATAAATATCGAATTATCTGTGATGTAGCACTCAAAATAGCTCGGCAGACCTGTATGAGCGGGTAGGTCGGTCTAGAGGAGCTCTAGCTCGATGAAGAACAACTAACCCAGTCAAGGAGCTTGCAGACGCAGCTCAAGGTACTGGACTACCTAACAAGACGGCCTGGAGGTAACGACCTCCAGGAGCTCGGATACAAAAAGTGACCTTGAGGTTTTGAATTCGCAAAGTGGTGAGGTCGGGTAGCGACCTTGTCCAGGCCTTATAGAAATGAGGCCAGGAAGTTGTGGTTAATACCTAGGGACCTCAGGGATATGTGGTAAAGGGAGAAAGACCTAGTACGATGAAAAGTATATCTTACTGAGGAAACTTGCCCTAGATAGAGACGTGGTAAGCTAGGAAAGAAGAGCCACTTAGATCTCTTTCATAGCAATAACTATATTGGACATTGAGCATTCACTAGATATAAGGGTTATCAGGTTTTATGTTTTTATTATAGCACGTATATGCATTAAAGTTCATATATAAAAGATTATACTCGAACTAGCTCTCACTTGAGTGTTAGAGCATCTATATCGATACCGTCTATCGATGCATTGCATGTCGTGGGAGCTCAAGAAAGGTGTACAATAGAGGAATGATCGGCTGAGAACGATTCGTGACAACTAGACACATCAAATGGGCGTAGTTTGTGGGAAAACTCCAATCTTTTACCCGCAATAAAGGGCTGGTATATTTTCCTCGCAACAAGCTTGTTAGTTCAAAGATTATGGCAACAGATAATTGTAAGACAATTTACTAAAATATATTTATAAGGCATGGGTATCCCGAACGATGGGGACAGGAACTCCACCTGGTTGGTCGAAGTCAACGAACGCGTTGGTCATACCTCAAGTGACGCTACCGACGGCCCACACAGCGATAACCTTGGTGGATGGAGCAACAAAAACAGAGGCATGCAAAAAGACAGTGGTCGCGTTGGAGAGTATGAAAGCCTCTGTAGGACAAGAGCTAATCGTGGTCCAAAACACCGTGACTCAACAACAAGACAACCTCGTGAATGGTTGACCTCAGGATCATGTCAAAGGGCATACTCCACATACTCAGGGACATGAGGTCCCGCAAAGAAGGTTGTTTGCTCAGCTCGTCAGGGAAGAGCTAGATAGTATCATGGTCGAGACGCTGGCCCGGGATTAGGGGCCAAGTCGACCAGGGTCGATTACGCCACAACACAGTCGCAGAGAGGACTTGAGAAAGTAGAGGCGAGGTCGAAGCCAACACTGACATCACGACCAGCTCCAGAATTCGCATTGGATAAACTGTCAGCTCAAGTAAAGGATTCGTAGGCCCGAGTTGGGGGTAAAATGGCGCCTCGAATACATGGCATCTCTCTGCTAAAGAAAACCTAGAGGCCGACCTACCTAATAATATCTACGAGCTAAACTTGTCTTATGATGGCTCAACAAATCTGGAGAGACACCTGAGGTCATTGAAAATATCGCATTGCTCACAAGTACATCGATGTTGATTGTTGTAAAGAGATTATGGCCACACCACGAATAACTTGCCATAGCCATAACCATAACCGTTAATTTAAAATTTGTTACATCAAATAAATTTATAGATTAGGATAAATAGAATAATTAATTATAAATTTTTGAAAAGTTTAATCTCAAATTATTGACATCACATCTTAGGCTGGCGTAGGCGGACCTAGGCGCTCCTAGGCGGGCTCGGCGACAATTTTTTCAGTTTTTTTTTTTTAAATACTAATTACATTATTTTGTTCTCATGTTTTTCTTAAAAATATATTAATATTATTATTTGGACTTAGGTGTGTCAATTTATTATAAGTTGAGATAGTTTTATTTTATAAGTAGTTAAATAAATAAAAAAATAAGATACTTAATATTGATTTCCAGGCCCCGACTAGGCGCCGCCTAGGCCCCACCTAGGCGCTCTAGGCGCTAGGCGCTGGTCAAGCGCCTAGCGGGCGCCTAGCGATTTTTAGAACACTGCATATTATAAATATTTTGATTCATTATAATATAATTATTGACTTGGCGTTTCGACAAATGACTCGATATACTTGATCATCGAAACAAATTTATTTTTTTTTATAATTTTATAGTACTTTAATTAACTTTTCTAAACCCATGGAGATAAATATATCAATTACTATTTTATATTATTTTATACTATATATATCTGGTAACGTAGAACACCCCGACCGGCTGAAAATCGATTGATCGAACGCCTTCTCCTCGTCGGTAGAATGCCTCGTACCTGCAAAAGCTCTCAGACCGGAGGAGTTTCTGGGTGAAGAGCCTCCAATGCATAAATAAGTATGTGTAGAAGATGAACTCACAAGAGTATAATGAACGTAATAGACGAACTCATATATCTCACTCTTATATATAGGGTGAGGTATCTGCTTCTAGAAGGATGCCCAGATGAGCTGAGCTGGCTGCCCAAGTTGTCTGGTCGTACAACACACATTGGAGGTGCCAGAAACTGTTATAGGGTGCAAAACGAATCATGTCATGCCACATGTCCATATTGCATGAAGATTTGATTCCCCTGAGATCTCCTCGAAGGTTGGAAGGCTCGACCAACTCTAGGTCAATTTGCGGTGAAGCATTGACTGCTCCAAGCCCGAGTTTTGGTCGTTCAGACGGTCATCTGTTGTTGTGGATAGAGTTTCGACCAGGCTTTCCAAGGGCTTTGGCTCGACCTACTATTCACGTACTGAAATCCCCTTTAAGATGTCTTCCAGTTCAGAGGCTCTCGACTCTGTGACGTTCGACCACGACTACCCCGTTTGAATGATCTGTTTGAGGTGATTTGCTCAGCTTACGCGACCAGTTTCCTCTTTTGGGTATAGTATCCCATATCATCCTGACTATAGTGCAACCACCTCGTTCGAAAATTGGTCGAGGTGGTCGCACTACGGTCGGGATGATATGGGATAATATACCAGAGGAGTAAACTGGTCGAGTAAGATGAGCAAATCACCTGGT